CCGGGGAATCGTCCTTGTTTAGCCTGTGTTATAATTTACACGTGAGTCATGGAAAAACAAATGGATTTAAAGAGAGTGTAAACCTGTCTAGATGAGTCTCTACCTGTTTGTACACTTAATGTGAACGCACTGTTCAAAGAAGTGTTCAAGCATCTGTACAGGTACATTCATTTAAGTACAGCTTGACATGTAAATACTTTTAGGTCAAAACACAACATTAAATGTTTTTTAGATACATTATGAATAACTTTATGTCTGCCCTATATGCCCTATATTTTTAAATCTTTTAAGTTGATAAACATGTTAATATAGTTTAATTTAGTGAAAATGTTCTTGTGTGGATCAACAATGTAAAAATTAGACACATTGTCTTTAAACTAGAAAAAGTAAAATATATTTACAAAACCCTAAATATACACATGTGCTCTAAACATTTTAATTTTTAATTTATAAGTATATAAAATGCATACAAACATTTTAAATAGTTTATAATACCTAATTATCTTACATTTATGATGTATTACCACTTCTTCATACTTTAATCAATTTAATTTATTTCATGCATTTATATTTGTTTATGAAAATAAATTACATTTATCCCAGTAATTCTACTCAGATAAATTATGAGATTGTAGTAATTAAAACCTTTTTACATTGCTGCATTTACCATAGCTGTAATTACTAATTATTGGTAACTCTTTAGTGTAAAACATGCTGAATTTGGAATAAATCAAGAACAAGCTTAAATCTAGTATTTTTGACACTCCCTTAAATTAGAGAACAATGCTGCTGTGTAGTTGTGTTAAATTTAGATTCCCCTTATGTACAGTACACAGTTTATACTGCATGTCACCACGCGTTTATGGCACTCACCACACTAACACAATAAAGTGAATACACCAGTGAATTACTGCAACATTAACATGTTTATGATCATTCCGAGACAGGATTTTTATTTACAGACGTTGTGACGATGATGGATTTGACTTGATCTTTGCGTATTTCAACTGACAAAAAATACAAAGTTGGCCATCATCTGTATTCCATCAGGATCTACGAACCCAGAGAAAAAAAAAGATTTATTGCTAATTAAGTCTGTGAGGTGGGCGAGGGAGGAAAAATAAATACCCATTCAAAGACTCCAAACATAAAAATGATTAATAGAAGAAATAACAAAGACAGCCTTCATCGGTCTGACTAGGATCATGGCCGTAAACATAAATCCTGGGGGCAGTTTTCCAGGTGCTTTAGTCTGTTTTAGCTGGGTTTTACAGTTGATGTTAATGTGTTTTGAGAGCACAGATAATTCTGCTGTACAGAAGTCTGTAATGGCCCGATAAGGGCTTCTTCCTCTCCCGGCTGCTTATGATTAACAGTCACTTTATAAAAGCTTTTTAGGTTTGCTGCTCTGCACGCTCATGTAGGTCTGCGAGTAAGTGAGCAAGTTTCTATCTTCGGAGTTTGTTTGTCCAAACCAAGTCCTGGGCACTCTGCAGAAGAGTAACCTACAGATACCTCAATGGGCGAAAAGAAATCACAGTTTGACGGGCGAGTGATCTCAAAGACAGAAACAACAGAGCGATGATGACGAGACCGTAGACAAAAGCCAGGAAAAGTCACACATTTTTACATTAACAGGGCCTTAGGGGCTGAGCGGCCATAAAAGTGAGCAATCACAACACTGAACACGGAAACCTTTCACCCACATAAGGAAAAAAACCTAGACCACAATTGAAGTTTTGTGGTTATTCCTTTAACAGCACTCTGAACAGGAAAAAAGGTGGAGGGAATGATTAACTGTGGGTCTGCGTTAGATTTCATTTAAAGCCGCTCTGAGCTGTTCCCCTCGACCTCGCGCTGCAACCTTATGATTCATTTTAGGGCCACCTTCATCCGCAACTGCCGAAACCAGTCTCTGCGCTGCCGTCAGCCTACGTCCTGACAGTAATTTTGGAAAGTCGGGAGGCAGAAGGCTTTTCTGGGTAAATTTAGGGTGAGTTATCTGGAGCTACTCTTCCTCCCATGGGAATTCCACAGGTCTGGAGTAATGTTGGGAGGCTCCTGCTCGGCAAACTCATCAGGAATGTACCGAATGAACAGGACAGAAGGAGGAGGAGGAGGCGGGGGTTGGAAGCAGAGGTGGAGGTGGGCTCCTCCAGCCTGGAAGCAAAACACAGCTCTTCATTGTTCTTCTACCTTTACATTCCATTCCTCACCTCTTTCTCTCTGTTAAAGAAAAAAAATCACACCACTCCACTAAACACCACCTCAGTTTCTCCCTTTGTATGACATTTCTCTCATTCCATCCTGCTCTTCTCCTCTTCCTCCTCCCTCTCCCTCTTACCTGGCACTTTCCCACAGCTTAGAATGCTGTACTGACAGAAGACTTCATCACTTTTATCCGCCTGTTGGAGGGAAACTGAATAAGAGAGCAGATCAACTGTACGTGGACTCCATGTGGTTTTCCAGCTGTAATTACCAAACTCAGCCACAAGCACCAAAGTCTGACTTTGGACAGTGTCTTGTCAATACCAATTTAACTTTTTTTCAGTTTTATGTTCTCATGTTGAACCTGAACACTGAATTAAGATTTCAAGATTAGGGGAAATTTATAAAATATCTCTTAGTCGCAGAATTCCAAAGATCCAGGTGCATTCAAATTCAGGTTTTGGGAAAGATCAGGTGACCCGGCACTGATAACCTTTTTTTGGGCATCAAACGTTTTAAAATATTTCCATTTAAGTGTGGTTAAAAATTTGAATTTTGAAGGTTGAACACCTGATCCTAAATATTTTTAAGAAGCAACTTTAATTACAATAACCCCATGATTATTAACATATTAAAATGCAGGGGGGAGACCACTATACTGACATGAGGCCAATGACAAATAAAGTCAACAGGAAAGAACAGAGAGAGAAAACCAGTTTCTATATTCAGTAAAGTCTTGAAATCCCTCTAAACCTGAAGTCTGTGGAGTGACAGAAATGTTGGTTGTTCACTTCTATTGTGCAGAAGTGTGTGCATGTATTACCACCCCCAAACTGAGGAGGAGCATTTAGCACTGATTGGTGTCTTTCGGTGCTGCAGTATTGGAGCAGATCTGAACAGGCCCTTGCATGCCAGTTGGTGTTCTATGTTCAAATGTGCTTCGCACTCAGAGTCACACCACCCAGCCCAGAGCCAGAGCTCAGCAGACAGAGGAGAACAGGCAGAGATGCACGGGGAAAACACGGAGTCGGCATGTTCCATCACACGAAGGGGGGGCCTCAGCTCCCTGTGATGCTTCAGATGAACAAAGTCCATGAGGCTCAGAGGCTTCATCTCGCCTCCCCTCCTCCCCCTGTCTCCCCAGCATAGCAGTGTTTAAGATGCTAATCCATCACAGTACAGTAGCCGCCCAGACTCTTTCATCATTCTCAGTCACACTGACAGCCCTTGCCACAACAATGAGAGACTTTTTTTGCAGGGCTTAAATACAACTGTGCTACAAACTACAAAGTAAGAAGCTCTGAGTGATGGCCTGACTGCGCAGCACACCCATATCCACACAAGGTCAAAGAACAGAAGATAATGGGAGAGCAGGAAGTGGCCTGATGCAACAGGCTGTAAGTTATGAAACAAGGTGTTGTAAAAGGTGGAGTGTTTCCACAGGATTCTATGGAACAATTCCAATATACATGTGTTGGGTAAATATTAGCGGAAATGGCTAATATTATATGGCTAATATGAAATGGCAACAACACAGAAATCAAGGTTTCTGCATTGACTTTTTGTGAGTGATGTTGAAGAAATGTTAAGATCTGGCAAAGTCTAGACCCAAAAAAAGAGAGTCTAAGGAGCAGTAAGGACCTGGATCAGCATCTGGCAGCTTCATTGAGGTGGAGCCAAGTTTGACTTTAGTACAGTCCCAAAAAAGCTTAATCAAGAATGGTCTTCAGGGACAGTTAGCAGCCAAGAACCCATTTGTTCAAAAAAGGAGAAGTTTAAAATGGCCAACACATGTTCATAGTAAAAAAGAAGTAATGAAGATCAATGACAGAGAATGAACCAGAGTGAAACTGCCGTGGATGTGTCGAACAAAACTTCAGCATGGGCTGCACACTGAGCACAGACCCCTTGGTCCATTTATATGTTTTTTACCCATGTATCGTAGACCAAAATGTAATCTAATTGAGATAGACCCTACGGCAGTCCCATTTTTTCAATACAAATGAGTGTATCATTAGTTTATAGACATTTAAAAGAATATGGCTGATTTGCTTAGCCAAAATAAATAAAACAAGCCTATACTGTATGTAGTGTATAATCGTTAAAAATTAATAAAACCAAGTTTACAAAGCATACTCTCTTTCACATTACTAAGACTATTTTTCTTTTCTTGTTTCCATGGTGTGCATATTGTCCGTGCTGTCTGGTATTACTTAGATATAGGCAGACATTCTTGGCTAAAGCATTCCACCTAGTCTGGGCCAAGGACTAACCTTTAATGACATTCATGACAAAGGGAATTTAATTACATGTTTTTTTACAACCTCAAACAGAAAAAAACATTAATTAGGCTTTGACTTAATTTCATGGCACAAGTTATTTGTTCTTGTACACAGTTTTCCACTGAGTTGACAAAATTAAAATGTGCTTCTGATACCCAGAAGCACATTTTCTAATTTTCTAGGTATCGGTTTAAGGTCAGGGATGGTGCTGTGACTTGCTCAAGTCGGCCTGAGCATTCCTTCCATTGCAGAGAGGCTGTGTCAGCCAAGGGCAGAATTCCACTCAACTATGATAATAACACCTATGATAAATATCCACAACTGCCATTCAGGCTTGTTTTACAACCTTCGACAATTAGATTAAAGGTACACTGAGAAAAAAACGTGACCAGTGACAAATGGTCTTTCTAAAAAGGAGATCTTCTCATGGGAACTGTGTGGCCTGAGCTGTTGAACTACAGATGAAATAGTAAAAGACTTTTCAAGGAGAACTCAAGGACAGGCTCTTACCTTGACAGGCGTCTTGGACTTCTTCATAACCTGGTTTACATTGGCACTGTCCGACTTGTACCACCCACTCTCCATCCACGGTGCAGTAGATTCGAGGCAGCTCCTCACTTACTGCATTTTCCACGCAAACCCCGCTCACCTCCCTTAGGGCCTGGTTTTCACCTCCAGCCACAGTCTCAGGAAATGACGCAAGGCTCTTCACAGTGGCTGGGCAGGTTTTGTAGTAGACCCTGGCAGATAGAAGGGCAACACACGCACCAATGTCTTGAAAGGCCAAGTAGAAGCCTTTTCTAGACAGGTTTTCAACCACTCTTGTTTCTGTGTTGATCCGCACTTCATTCCTCCTGGTGATTTCATCGGGCGCTATTGTGGCCACTTTTCTAAACTGGCTTTTGCGGAAGGTCGTCCCTACATCTGCGTCCGACTCTGACGTAAAGAGGTTGAAGGTTTCCTTGCAGGTCAGTGAGGCACCGTCAAAGGAGTTGCAATCGCGTACAATAAACTGGATTTCTACGAAAACCCTCGAAGCCGACGGGTGCCTCTGAATAAAGGTCGTACGCAACCAGTTGTCCTGCTCACGTTCGCCAACATTGCACACAGAGTAGGTGTAGAACTGGGAGCCGTTCAGAGTCCTCTGGACCACCTCCCACTGTAAAAGAGAAAAAAAACAGAGAAAACAAGTTTAGTGGTATGAACATGAATCCCTGTGGAACCCCCTAGTCCAAAGCTCTAACCCAGGTAGAAATAAAAGTGACATTTAATAAGGTCTCAATGACTTTATGTTTAAAGTGGGAATTAAACTATCACGTTTCCAAGCATTAAAAAGTCCAACTGAATAACAACCAGGTTGGAGGATAATGAATTTTCCTCAGAGGGTAGAATTATGGCTCCTCTCAGTTTGGCAGTGTTTAGTCATTTCTACGTGACACGTTAGAGCTTATTAAGCAATGTACGCTATTAGGTTGTTTCTTAACCTTTGTTGCTTTGTACATTTGATACGATCTTTAAAAAACACACACATACATTAAATACTACACATCCTTCATGGTTTTGGTGACAGTCACACACAGTGTTTACATAGATGTGTGTGCCGTTAATGCTACATACACGTGAGTGTGAGAAGCATTTCTGAGATTGCAAAAATACCAAATTATTTCCAAATCTTTCACATGCTTTCGCTACTGTTGGCATCTGTCCCAAAACTCTGCTGCTGCTTCTGCTCACACTAAACAATGCCAAAAAATGTGTCTTAAGAAACTTGACAGAATGTTACAACATGACCTTGGCTCTTGAAGAACAACTGCCCCCCCACACGGCCAATGCCTGTGGTTTGCTCTGTACTCGCAGCCACTGTGTTATTAATTAAAGAAATGTGCTTTGTTGGCTGAGTGTGTGGCTCTGTTTATAAGTTGATGGACAGCAGCAGGGCCCCCAGCTCTATTAAACAGCTGGTGAACATTTCTTTACGAGGGGCCTGTAAAACTTAAAATAATAATTGTCAAAGGTGCTGCTCGTTACATGACCATACGTCACCACAAATAACTTTTCCAGCAAACTTGGGTGCATGGGAGCAAATGAAGCGGAAGGGGAACCTGATTCTCAAAGATAACCAGTCAAACCTATTTGAGAAGGAACCACGGTAAACGGCACATCAGCACATGCCTAAGAGTCATCAGCACATGAAATGAGGCTATTTACTCCAGATTTGCATGAGCCTCACTGGTCAGTTTCTCTGAAACCGCAAAATAGACAATAACACACAAAACTCCACTGCACTCGCAAATATTTGGCCAAAAGTATGTGGGTGTATTAAGGTAATGTGTTGAACACGGACATTTTTTTAAAGGAAAGGCTGATTACCGCCCCTGAAAACACTTTTAAAAAGAGCTACCACATGCTGCAAACTTTAAAAGTTAATTGCCTTCTAACATACAATTCTGGAGCTGAAGCCTTAAAACCACAAGAAGCCACAAGAATTTCCAGTTCAGTGCTAGCAGCTATTCTGTCTGCTGAAAATTTGGTGTAGCCCAGACATGCTCTGCAGGCAACAGCTCCTGAAAGGGAAGACGTACAGGACCTTCTCACGTCCATGCACCAGAGCAAACATTAGGTTTCAACCAGCCGGGTTTTATAGAAACCTGTGGTGTGTGTGTGTGTGTGTGTGTGTGTGTGTACACACACCAGGGCCAGAGTGCAGACAAATGTAAACGTCAAACGTTCAAATATTGTCTGCAACAGACTGTCAGTTTATCCATACTGAGAATTTCCCGTAACATGTTTATCCTCAGGCAAATTCCAGGAGAAACAGTGGGAGCTGGAGTTTGGAGAAGGAGTGAGGAGGAGGAGAAGGAGGAGGAGGAGGGAACGGAGCAACTCACCCCAAGCTTGTCACCCTGATCCAGGGGCCATGTCAACCAGCCCAGTTCACCTCCTGTGGCCCTCATGTCCAAGAGAACCTCTGCAGAGACACAAGTAATCATTAGATCACGAGAATAAACATTTACAGATAAGAAGAAAATCTCTGGAAAACATTTGTTGTACGTGTTTACAAATGACGGTGGGATAAAGACTAAAGACTCCTGACATGATGTCATTTTCCATGGGGTTAAAATAAAACACTTTTTAACTGGTTGAAAAAGTCAAACCTCTGGGTCTGAACAGACACAGCAGCTGGAACTGAGTCTGTTATAATAACTTAATTCATACCCATTAGTATTAAGTTACTGCAGCGTGTAAAAAATCTGGATTCAGGGTTCGATAATGTTACTTCTTTTATGTGGTTAGTAGTTAGTTATGTTGTGTACTGCAAGCATTTTGTTTTTAGATATTTTAGCTACAACTAGAGTTTGCTAAGTCCACAGCTATCAGTGGTGTATTTTATAGCTGTACTTTATTTCTTTGTTTTTAGTTTCATTATTTACTTTTTTTTGCTTTTAGTGATTGGCAGTTTTTTTGTTTTAATTTAATGCGTACCAAGACTTTAATCATCGTTACTTTGGACATTAGGACAATGTTTTTTTTTATTATTGAAAAGTTAATAATACATTAATTGAGGTAAACTAAAAATAAATCTGCTTTTTAGGACTTTTTCCTTCTATTTTGACTAATTGTATTCACACTCTCAGGGCCTGCTGTGGCCTGTACTGTAGTGAGAGAATCAGGCTTTTTACAGGAAGATCGCAGGTTCAAATCCCACTGACTGGGGTGGATGAACACACCAGAAATTCCGTTGCTCCCAACTCACTCCTAAGAACGCTGCCCCCCACGGAAGGATTCATTTTTCTTAAGGTCTTTATAATAGTATATACATCCATGACTAATATTTAGGGACAATTTTACTGTGTTTCCAATTTTAAAAAATGCTGCCAAGAAAGGCAGAAGTTTGGAACATTTTACCTATGATTGTAAATAGTCACATTTTAAATCTCCCAGATTTAACTGCTGTACGTTTTGCAGAAATCTGTCCAAAAGTGAGCGGCTGGGATTGATTCTCTACACCAATTAAATAGAAGCACTTTCGGTTCACTTTGTGGAGAACGCAGTGCAATTGCGTGCCACTTAATTATAGTGTGAGGCCATACAGTCAGGGCAGCAGCAGTTGGCTCTTGTGTATTTTTATATTATGGAATCTGGCTTCCCATGAGAAAAGGTTACAATGTCCTGTTTAAAGTCTAACTTTATTCTTCCAACACTGAAACTAGTTATGAACTTAACTTCATTACCGCACTGGCTTTAATTGCCCCCACCCAACGGGGGCTACTGGGTAAATGTCCAACAGATTACATTTTTCTTAAATTAAAGTCATTGGTAAAGTGGAACTTTCATAAGGTTCAGTTTCACCTGCTGCTGTTACAGACACGAGCCTGCTGAGCGCACCTACCACTCACACCCCAACGACGGCTGATCAGTACAAACACACACGGGAAAGCAGTGACATTGTTTGTTTGTTTGGTTTTTTTTATCACTGAGAAAATACACTTGTCCACAGTGTGGCTGTCAGGGAGACGGACAATAAAAAGGAGAAGGTTTCCTGGAGGCAAAGTTCAGCTTCAGCAGTGTGGATCGCGTGCTGCGCCTTCGCCAACGCACCGCGTTAGGTGCAGAGAAAAGTTCAGATAAAAGTGAAGACGCTCACCTTCTTTGGTCTGCAGTGTGATGAGAATGCCGTTAATGAGGACATAGGTGAATAATAAAGGTCTTAGTCCAGTGAGGAAATCCATCGGGAAAAAACTTTTCTCTGTGTTCTCTGTGCGTCTGTGAGATCCTGCTGTGACTGAACCTCCTCTGAGAGTGAGGAGCTTCAAACCTCGGCTGAAACACGACGGCTCATTCACAAACACTGACTCCGCCCGCTGGAATGTGTCACTGCGTGTGTGCGTGTGTGTGTGTGTGTAAGGGGGAGGGTGGGAAACTTTCGCAACCTGCCTAGGTACTGTTAGAAATTCACTTTTTTTTTCTTTTTTTCTTTTTTTGATCTCAAGAACCTCTCCGACTGAATGCTCGGGTTGATTTATTACAATGAGATGTGGAAACTCCAAAATATTCTTAGGTTCAACTGACTCAAAAATGCTGAAAGCCCGGAGCAGTCTTTCTACTCTTAGTTCTTAAAAGTCAACGTTGATTTTTATCAGTTTGTTTATTTGAATCGTGTGTCACCTGTGGGCCAGAATCATTCCTGAAAAAGGTTGAAATTTTTATTAACCCATAGGAATTAATATTAGTGTCAACTTATACCATCAAAAACGTTTTTCCTGAAAAGTCTTTATTCCTAAACACTAGTTTCATGTACTGTTACGTTGAAGAAGAAATATGAATATAACATCTAAAAATCATATATCGTAATTATATATTATAATAATAGTGACTCATATTCAGAAGAGAATAGACAATAAAGCACAGGAGGAGATCAGAGCACATAAATGGACACGTGTGTGACCAGGCTACTGTTGGACAGCCATATGTTTGCATGCATGTCATGTAAAATACCCAATCCTGACTAAAAAAGTTCAAAAAAATTGAAAAAACTATCTTTATTTATGAATATAACAATATTTTTCTACACATCCTCCTTTAGTTCAAACAGTTCTTCTGTATTGATGGTTGAACAACCTGATCAAGTAAATCAAACCACACCTCAACACCTGACGAAGCCTGTTGGAGAACATGTGAGAACATGTTTTAGTTATAGAAGACACATCAGAAACCCTGAAGAAACCCTAGCCCCTTTTAAAATGATATGACTGTATAAAGACTCTTAGTTCTCTAACGCTAATGTTCTCTAACGAAGGAGAACCACTTCCTGTTTGATTCTTTACCAGTGTCACAGCGGCGGCCCACACAGTGGGGACGAGGTGTTATCGAACCCAGAACCCTCCGGTGGCCGGTCTGGGTCCTCCACTGGACCAGTCCACCTCCCATCTAGTCCTCTAATGCAGTGTTTCCCAAACTTTTTTTTCTGGCGACCCATATTTCAAAAGTCGCAAACCTTCGCAACCTAAGTCAATAAACATTATTGATAAACTCCTGGGAAACATGATGCGAGACGACCCAAAAAATATATCTTGCGACCCAACTGAGGGTCGCGACCTAGTCTTTGGGAAACAATGCTCGAGTTATATTTCAAGTAAAGTTAAGAGAGAAATAATTTTTCCTGTACTGTCATCAATTCTAATTATATTATATTATATTATATTGTATTATGTTATATTCAAGAGCCAAATGAATTTCTCAGTCTATTTGTTTTCATTATTATTATTTCTTATGTGTATCCTGTGTATCCTGACTTAAAAGATATCCTTGCTTCAAAGCGACACCTTTCTTCTTCTTCTTCTTCTTCTTCTTTGAGCTTTAATAGCAACTTGCATTCTGTGGGCAGTCATACTGCCACCTATTGTGTCTGTGTTTCCATGGTTAATAATTCCAAGGAACACCATCTGTAGCGCCCACAGGCCAATTTTAAATATCTAATGGGATTCTTTAAGTATATTACCATTTTCTTTTAGCAAAATACTCAAAATATTCAAAATGGAGTGGAACTGTGGGTAAATGCAGCCCCGCCTTTAACTGTAAATGGTTAAACTCTGACACAGAGCCAGCTCCAGTCATCGTGGAGCCCTGAGCAGATTCTGATTTGATCTCCCACTAATCCTTTCAAAGTGCACAAGCTGACAAATGTTCCAAAAAGTACTTGACATTTCTGCCAGGTTATTTTTTATTTGTCAACTCTTCTTTGTCTGCACATCGTACATTTCTATAGCTCTTTTTTCTGATCAATGTTCATAATAAGAACTTTTATGATATTTGCTCTCTGACCCTGAACAAATGATAAAATGCAGACGATTTTGGCATAAGTAAAAAAGAATGAGGTAAAAATCCCATCCCAGAAGAATTGCAGAACGTTACTGAGAGAAGATGAATGACCAACTGTGAGAGTGATTTAGACCTGACGGTGGAAACAGTGGTTAGGGCTTTTACTTATACCTATGGCCAATTTAAACTGAAATATTTCACCTAATCCCCAGTCTGAATGTTTTGGACTGTGGGGGAAAGGAATTTGCAGTGATTGTTTGAACGATTTCTTTGCCTCTATTTGTGGCTCTGTGATGGACTGGAGCAGTGTCCAGGGTGAGTGCTGGGATGGCTCAAGCTCCCCTATGACCCTGAAAAGGATTAAGCAGTTGAAGATAGATGAGTAGATTCTACAAACATTTCAAACTGGCACCGGTTTGCTGGAGAGCAGAGACCATTTAAATCCATCCACAGAGCCACATATACTTTACATTTTATACATCCTAAAATGTCTTTAAAATCCAGCAGTAATTAGCTACCTGGCTAGTAAGATGCCTGCAGGGTACAGGAAGTATTTGCATGCGGATACTTATTTAGATTTTTTTTTGTCATGTTGAAAAAGCCTGAGGGGAGAAAAACGGGAGTGTAAGCAGCTTTGTATGACGCGGTTATGGTCCGAGCATCTCGACACTCACAGGCAGAATCGTTGTGACAGGCATAGAGAGCTGTATTCATATCAGTACAATAGCAACAGCTGGCCTGCTGATAACTCATAATTTATGGGAACTATCTCAAAAATGTCTCCCCCTGCAGATAGACGCTGGTCAAGAACTGAAGGGGGAAAAAGGTTTAATCTGGAATTTGACTCTCAGGAGGGTGTGGGAGGTGAAATGGAATGGAAGGAGTTCAGCGTGAATATGTGGAATGTAAAAGAAGGCTTCACCTAGCAACTAGTGCAGAGTTGAATTCAGAGTCCAGTCTTATTGCACCTATACTGTCATTGCCTGTTGTTTAGTGTTGCCATAGCAAAATGTTGAGAAACAACATGCAAATGTACTGGGTTTATGGTTCCTTTCCTCCTCCTCCTCCTCCTTGTCTTACTCCTCCTCATACACTACCTGTAAGTCTACTGCTTCATACCACAGGTTGTGGGTTTCATTAAACTCCAGTGAGTTTTTTATTATAATATATATAATAATATAATTATATAATTATATATACTGACCATTGTACAAGGGCCTTGAAGCTATCAAAAATGATCAAAAACAAAGTTCTTAAAACTTAGACCAGTCAAAATAGCCACATTGATTAAGGGTTAGCTTAGATAATAAGACACAGTTAGCTACAAATATATATAAATCACCAGGTGGAGTAATGACAGGCGAAAAGTTAACCATGAGCCAAAGTTGAGCAAAAACAAAGCTAACTGTTAGCCTTAGTGTTTACACAGAGGCTGTCCACTGATAGCCAGGGACAAAGCTAAAGATGGACCTCCTACAGTGAACAGTGAGCAGACAGATGTCAGTTATCTCAGAAAGTCTGGTCAATATTTAGCCAAAAGTCTTTATTTTCAAATTGATTTAAAAAGTCTATCTGACCCCAACGTAGATAAAGTACAGCATGAAGGTGAGAAAGCCCAGAGTAACACAAACCCTTTGGTGAAATTGCCCTGGAAACGAACTGTATTACCCCAAACAAATATTTAAGAAAAAAAAATCCTCAGTTCAAAGCAGTGCATTTCCTCCCCTGGTGCTGTGCTTTACGTCTTCCTCCCTGGATCACTCTCCTCCTCCTCCTCCTCCCATTCTTTCTTCTCCAGGCTCGATTCTGCTTCATTACAGTTTGTTGTCAGTGGTGTTTACCTTTGAGAAGCAGCCGTGTCACCACAATACATGATTACAATACAGTGTGTCATTGGTTTGACACGCTCCCACCCACTCACACACACCAGCGGTCGTTCACACACACCTGTGAGGCTGATACTGCGGGAAACGAGGTGGTCTCTTCTGAGGCTGAGTCCCCCTCACCCCCACCCTCACCCTCCCATCCTCACACCCTTCTTTATACTAACTTTCAGGGGTCTCTCGTTTCACAAAAGCGAACCGCAGACGAACGCCGCGGCACTCTGTGAGCTCTTAAACCCCTACAATCCCACCACTCAGCCGCCTGCTCCGGCCTCCACAGCCAGCCTAAAGCCTCAATTATACTGTCCATGAATGTGCTCGTGGACACAGACACAACTGTGGACACCATTGTGGAACTGCCATGCTGTTGGTGCACGGAAAACTGTTCATCCTCTGAAGGTGAAATGACCATGACTGCAGCTGGAGCAGACAGTTTGATACCTGTTGATGTACAAGAGTACAGCTACACTACAGTAGTTAGTAATGAGTACGTGCAGCTAAGGTCACTACGTATAGTTCTTATGTAAAACTCCTTCATCTTTTCCCACCCTTTCCTTTCAGGGTTGAGGGCGTGGCTGCGGCCATTCCCAGAAGTCATAGGGTCAGGGGTGGAGGTACAGTATTACCCATGTACCAATAGCAGTCTGTGGACCAGGGGTTGGGAACCCCATGCTCTAGATCATTTCCAGGACTGTATTACTGTTTTTGTGTCTACCACATGGCTAAAGTTTGTTCAGTCTTCCAACCAACTTAAAGTAATTTTTTTTGTGTGAATTTATTTTAGGATCATTTATTTGGAATATTACTTAAACACAGTAGTGTCATCAGCTAAATTGTAATTAACAGTTTTTTTGGCTATTGCTCAGGTGCTATTATCCAGCTGAAGTGTATATATTGCTCAGGTGCTATTATCCAGCTGAACTGTATATTATGTATGTATGTATGTATGTAAGTCATACATGTATGTTGTACTGCATGTGTGAACTGAACTATGCTATGCTGTGTCCGGGACGGCTTGTTTTTTCCCCACTTCAGTTGTGAGTGCGTTCATATTTGGAGGGAAAACAAAAATGAAGTGGACGGTAACCATGGACACTTTGAGGTTTGAGGTTATGTGAGAAGGTCCACATGTGCCCACCACTGTACCACCCGTCACTCCAGCCACACAAGGATGTACAAATATTTGCGAACTCAAGGTGAGAAATCACAGCTGCTGGTGTCAAATGTGCGATTTAAAACCTATGCACAACACTGAGGATTAGTCCAGTCATAATGAACACACACACACATACAGAGGCTGACACACACACACACACATGGAAATGCATAACTCATTTTTGCAGACACAGAATCCATACAGTATAATCCACTTAAGCCCGACGAGACCATATGATGTAAAACTATCTGAGGGCCAACTGCTGCTGCTGTGACACTGAAGACTGGAATTATATCACATTTAA